TTATTGATTATTATAAATCAAAAGAAGAAAGAAAGAAAGAATGGAGAAACGCTTTATTTGAAATCAAGAATAATGTTGCTGGAAGATATAAAGACTTTAATTTGTATATCAATACTGGAAAGGGTCATACCACTAGTGATGCTGAGATTAGGGAGAAGCTCGGTTCTTGTGGTGAAATTTACAGTTTACAAGTTAAATACTATAACAAACAACCAACTGAAGTTGCTTATTGTTGTTTCAAAGATAATCAAGGAGCTCAAAATGCTTTAGCTAAAGCTAGTGAATTAGGATGGACTATTAATAAATTCATGACCAAACAAGAGAAATTCATTTCTCAAAATATGTATGCACAAGCTGCATATCCAATTAACTTCCTTAACTTCTTTCAAATGTTTAATCCAAATGTTATTGTCCCACAACATCCACAAAATCAAAACAAAGAAAAAGATCATCGTAAGAAGTCTACAAGAGAAGAATCAAGAAAACCAAAACCAATTGCTGAAAAACAAACTAAAGCAGAAAAAGCACCAGTTGTTACTGAGGATATGAAGAATGAACTTGGTGATCAACTTTATGACTATGTCTTAAATCTTGGTACTTATGATGATGATCTTACTGGTAGAATTACTGGTGTTCTTCTTGAGTCTATTGAATACGCTGATCTTAAGAAGAAGATTGATACTAAATCTCCAGAACTGATTGTTATCATTAAAGAAATCGTTGAAAATTTGAAGAAGATTCATAAGTAATGAAGAGAAACAATAAAACGAGTAGTTCGTTCTTTTATTTTGTTGTTTTATTTTTTTATTTTAAAAGTCTTTTTAATAAAAGAATAAGTAGTATATTTAAATAAATATTAATTATTATCTAATATTTTCTTTATAAATTAATTTTTTATTTCTTTTTGAATATTTTTAATGTAACAAACTCTTTTAATTTTTAGTTTTTATTTGGTTCAATTTTCTTCTTATTGTTTTTTAATTCATAATTCATATAATAAAAATTAAAATAATTTAAACTTGGTTTATATTTCAATTGTATTTATTAAATTAAGGCTATTGTCTTTTATATAATACTAAACAATATTTACCTAATTGATTATATTTTATTTGTTGGTATTTCTGTTGTGTAGAGTACTATTCTTTTAATTATTTATGAATTTATATTCATTATGACTTTGGTTTAGTTTAATATGTCAAGTTAATAAAGCTCTTTTTATTTCATAGCGCTCATTAATTAACTAATCCTTTCTTTTTGATTGAACAAATTTAATGCCTTACATTATTTCATTACTTGTTTTTATAAACAATGACATACCTTTTCACTTATTTTATCATTGTTTTGACCGTGATGAAATTTTATTATTTTCAATAAATATTCTATTTCTTGTTTCTATCTCTGTTCACTTTTACATTTTTTTGCTTTTAATTCTTTTAAATATTAATTTTCTCTCTCTCTTTAAAATCATTTGTATTAATTCAATCTTACTATAAATTTATGTAATTTATAGTATTATTTTGTTTTTTCTATCCTTTTTTTAACTTTCTCTTATTAAATCTGTTATTTGTTTAATACCTTTTATTTCTTTTAACTATTATATTCTATGATTGAGTTCATTTCATTTTAATATATCTTTTAGTTATTTCTTTTATTTTATGTGATATTTTAATATTATTAATGTATTCTTTATCATTATTTACATTAATATTTATTATTTTTATTATATTTTCTATTTGGTCATTTCTTAATTTCTTATTTAATTTATTATTTAACAAATTAATTCAAAATAATACAACACATCAATTAAAATTCTATTTGTTTGATTTGTTGTGTTTTCTTCTCTTCTTGACTGATTATCATTTCTTGTTTTTTTGATACTCAGTGTTTGTTCTTTATTTCTTTATATTTCATTTTGTAATTTCTTTCATTTTAATATTCATTGTTGATGTTATAATCATTGTTCTGTGTTTATTATCAGTGTCTATTTCTCTAATTCTTTTAGTGTTAAATTTCTTTATTATATTGTTTGTTGTTCTTATTTTATATTATTCTTCTTGTTGTATGTCATTTATCTTTTTCTTCCTACTCTTATTTTTATTTCATATTATCGTTATTTGGTGTTTATTTTGATTTATTTCTTCTTCTTGTCACAATGACTTCATATGACATCATCATTATTTCTTATTTTTCTATTGTTTCTACCTTCTCTTTCTTTTCTTTTACTTTTATTATTTTTTGTCATCACTTATTTATTATTTTCATTATTGATTATAATTAGATTTTTTATTTGTATTTTCATCTCCTTTGTTTTCTCATTCATTTCTATGTATACTTATTCTTTTATCACTATTTCTGATGAGATGTTTTGTTCTTCTTCTTTCTTTATCTTCTATATTTCTTGATTTCATTATTATTCTATTGTTATTAACTTCTTCTTCTTATTATTTTATTTATTTATTTCTTTTCTTATTTCTTTTCTTATTTCTTTTCTTATTTCTCGAGTTACGAAAGCATTACAGGAAACACCACAAAAATTATAAAAACGAACAATAACAAAAGAAGGAGAAATCCATATCATCCATGAAATATAAATGATAGAAGAATGAATGAAAACACGTATTATCTGTATGGACAGAAATACATTAATCATCACATTAATCATTACCATATTAATAACTATCACCATAACAATTATCATAACAGTTATAATAATAATAGTATGAATCATTTCGCTCATCGCTTCATTCATTTTCATCATAAGTATTTTATCAATAATTCAAATAGAAACAATCAATATTATAATACAAATAAATCACATAATAAAACACAACACAGATATAAACAATACCATAATAAAAGACAACAACAAATAAGAAATAAAAGAAAAGAAATGATAGAAATACAAAACCAAGAATATTTGAAAAGACTATTTGAAAAAGAAATTAAAATCTTACACCACAAGAAGTAGAATAAATTAAGAACACTAAGACTAAAGAATACACACCATCAACAATAATGAGAAGATGGTATTTACTTGTAAGAGAAAAAACAAAAATGATTAGAATGGAAGAAGAAACGATCAGTATGACACTTGAAGAAGATGACAAACAACTAAATCAAAAAGAAATAAATGATAAATACTTAAATAAGAAATATACAATATTGAAAATGATGATAAAAATGAATTTGCTGAGGAGAAGAGGCTTGGTGAGGAAGAGAGGCTAATAAAAGAGAGAAAGGAGAGGCTTGGTGAGGAAAAGAGGGACACTGAAGAGAAGAAGAGGCTTAATGAAAAAGAAAAGACGAAATTAAAAGAAGAGGAAGAAAAGAAAAAGATAAAAGAATAGAAGAATTAAAGAAAAGAAGAGGATCTTAAAGAGAAAGAAGAAATGAAGAAATACAAAAGAAGGACAAGACCATTAATAAATTATCAAATGACATTATGTCATTAAAGAAGAAGCATGAGAATGAGATAAACACTAAAAAACAAGAAAGTGATAGAAAATTATTCGAATTCAATGCTGAATCAGAAAGGAAAATGTCTGAGGTAAATAATTTATCACAACAAGTATACTTCTTGAAAGATAAATTATCTAAATTACAAAATAAAATTACACAAGAAGAAAAGAAGAAAGATGAGATAAATCACACTATATCTGACTCATCTAAAACACAAATGGTGAATAACCTCACCCTCAATATGGTAGTAACTGATGAAATATCATCAAATGAAGATGATCTTCCAAAAAAGAAAGTTAACGCAGAATTCAATCGAAGAGATGGGAATTCAGCATAAGAATATCATCACATCTGATCATGACAATCAAAAAATAATTGAAGCAAACAAATAGAGAAGAAGAAATTCTAACATTCTATAAATGTTTTGCACTGAAGTTATTAGAAAGAAAATTAAGAAATCAACTTAAAGAAGAAGAAATAAAAAGATTAATACATGAAATTGATATTAAAATAGAAGATATTAATGAATATAAAGAAATAATAAAGAAAACATATAAAATAAAGAATGAAATTAAAAGGGAAGTCAATAGAAGAATTGAAGAAGAAATAATAATACACCAATTGAAAGATATTGAATTAAAAGAATTAATAAAATAAATAAGAAAGAAGAAATACAAGAAGTAATAAGAATAAATAAAGAAGAAGATATGAAATAACAAGAAGATGTACAATTTATTAATTATTATTACAATAAAAACAAAGTACATCAAATAGTTAATATCATTAATACAAATGAAATATTAATCAATACATTAGATGATTACTACCATTATATTAAAACTATAACCTCCACTATTAACATAATTATTAATAACAATCAAGAAAGAAGTTGAAGGAGAAATATAGAAAGAATATTACAATCAAAAATATGTAAATTAAGAGACTTGCTCCATAATAACCAATATATGAAATTAAAAAGAATATTACATATTAAAAAATATGATATATATCATATTAAAGTAAAAACAAATGATCAAATAAATTATTACAAATATCTCCAAAGAATGAAAAGAATAGAAATAGAAGTAAGAATAATTGAAAAGAATAAGAATGAATTATAAAATGATAAAATAATAAAAGAGACATCTTCTAAATAAATATAAAGAAGATAAATATCAAGATAATATTACTACAATTAATTTCTGGAAATGAATCTATGAAAATAACACCAATATAAATTTCATAAATATTAATTTATATGATATATTAATTGAAAATAGAATTAATAATAGAAGGTGCGTAATCACTCTAGATGAATTAAACCATGCAATAAAATTCATTAGTAATTGGAAAGTACCTGGAATTGATAAAATACAATCATCTGGATTAAATATTTAGAATAACCAAAGAATTTCTTATTAAAATTATTTAATGAATTGTTGTATAATCATAATAATATCTATCTTCAATTTATCAAATGAAGGACAATATTAATATACAAGAAAGGAGATAAATTAGACCCACAAAATTACAGACAAATAACTTGTTTAAACTGTATGTTAAAAGTATATACATCTTTATTAAAGATGAAGATAGAAAGCCAATTGATGTTAAATCCAATTGCAAAACAATTATCACAAAATCAAATTGGATGTAAAAAATATACATATTATCAAAAGAAGGATTATTATACAATACTATAATCCAACAGTTATTAATTATGGATAAATGGAAGTGGGTAGAAACATATTATGATATTTCTAAAGCATATGATAGTATTAATCATCAATTTGTTAAACATTGTTTAATTTATTTTAATATCACATTAGTTGTAATTAAAAGTATATTATATATATTAAATATTACACAACTCTATTTATATTATAATCAACAAAATGTAGGTATAATTAATGTAGAAAGAGGAATAATACAAGGTGATAGTTTATCTCCATTATTATTTGTATTATCTATTGTTATATTATCTAAATAATTAGATAAACAAATTAATAAGTTATCTATTAAAATGAATGGAGAAGAAAAACAAGTCCAGTTAAACCACATATTATATATGGACGATTTAAAGATAATAACTAACAGCCTCGAAGAAATTGAAAAAGCCCACAAATTAACAAAAGAAATATTTAATAGAATATGATTAAAAATAAATATAGAAAAGAGTGAGATAATGAATAATATCAATTGTCAGATAAATGGAGAATTAATAGAATTACCAAGAGTAACTAATGATAACCCTTATAAATATCTTGGTATTGAAATAAGAGATAAAATAAATATTAATAAATATTATACAAGAATATTAAATGATGTATCTTCTATTCTATCATCATTAAATAATATGAAATATACCAGCCTCAATACAATTAGAAAAATTAATAATGATATAATCAAAATTAAGATATTGGTTCTGTATTGTCCCATGGAAACTTGGTGAGTTTGAGAATATAGATAAACAAATAAGAAAGGCATTGATACAACTCCAACTATACAGTAGAAACATCAATAAAAGTAGATTATATTTCACAATAAATGAATTAGGAATGGGATTAATGTCAGCACGAGATGAATGTTGTAAGGAATTAATAAGAATATATTTAAAATATAAATATCAAACACAGAAATATGAGAAATGATAGAACAGTAAAAGAGAATCAAATTGAATAATTAAAAGAATGAAGAGAGTTTGGTAAGAATATTAATTTCAATGAATGAATATAATACAATTAAATGAAATAAAACATGATGTAAACAAAGTATTTGAATTTGTAACAATTAAATAAATGAAAGATATTTAAATGAATTGAAAGAAATGTAGTGAATATATAAGAAATGTAAATTGTATATTTAATATTATGAAATTAACAGTAGCCACATGGAGGTCATTAAATATAAAAAGAAATGCTTTCCTCCAAGTAGTAAAGATGCAAGAAGGAGTAACTATGACAGGAAATATTAAATCTAAAATACTCAATTGTGATGCTTTAATTTATTGTAAACATTGTCCTAACACAATTGCATCTATTAGCCACATTTTGTTAGGATGTCCTGTAATGAAGAAGAATCAAATATCAAAACACGATTATGTATGTAAACAAATATATAAACATATATTATTTACATATTTTAATGAATTTGATGAAATAGACTTTAATGCCCCTCCTAAGTGTATTAATAATAATGAAATGGTTATAACTTACAATAAAGATTTATTGGTTAGTGACCATTCGTTCAATGCTAGAAGACCAGATATATATTATCAAAATGTCAAAGAAAAAAAAGGATATATTATCGATGTCGCCATATGTCAAGATAGAAACATCGAATTAAATTATTTTTACAAAATAAATAAATATAAAGAATTACAAGAGAATTTAATACAAAGTAGAGAATTAACTTATGTAGAAATAATACCTGTAATATTATCCAATAAATTAATACATAAAGAAACAGTAAGAAGATTAAAAACACTAAAATTACAAATCAACTTCCCCAAAATACTACGAACAATCATTATTAAAAACATGAAAGACTTAATGTTCTACATATTCAACACTGGCAACACATTAGAAGAGGAACCTTCTAATTCTCATATGTTAGAAGTGAACTCTATTGTAGAAATAGAGCATATTGAAATCATTTGAATAATCACTTTCTCATAATCATAAAATCAAATTATAGATATATCTATTATTTGGTAATTTTTATCCACTTCCTTTCCTC